CAGGAAACTAATCTCAAAACTAAGGACACTATAGGCCTTTCTTCTTTTTCATAATGACAGACCCGACCGCCGAGACGGTGGAATGGCCATCTATTTCAAGAAGACACTTCACTGCTCGCCCATTTCTACTCCGCAGCCATGGAAGCCACGGTATGCAGGCTAGCTATGACTGGACATCAGTCCATCCTCGTAGCCTCCTGTTACCTCCCTTCAGGAACCCATCCCCTCAAAAAAGATTTTGAGGCTATTTTATCTTTAGGCAATTCAGTCATTATGTTTGGAGATTTTAACTCCAAGCATACTGAATGGACATGCCGTACTACCTCCCCTAGTGACAAGATACTGCTCGTCTCTTGATATTACCGTCCATAGTCCCCTCGGTGTTACTCACTTTCCCGATAACACCGATCACGCCCCCGATGTACTAGATTTTGCGTTACTCCAAGGAGTTTCTCTCAACCTCAGAGCAATCGAGACACTAGACGATCTAGGATCCGATCACCGACCGGTCTCCTTCATTCTTGGCCATCAGCCGCCTCCCCCAACACACACGAAAACCTTCACTAATTGGAAGGGATTCAAGGAGACCCTAGCTAAAGCTCTGGACTCACAGGACTCTACCATCTCCCTACCGGCGGACTTAGACAGTCCCGAAAAAATCGATACCGCGGTCGATTCACTCTCCACCTTTATTAAATCCTCCCTTAAGGAGAACGAAAGGGTCGTCCCGGTTGCTAACAATTATGGGCTTCCCCTACATATTAGCAGCCTATTAAAAGCCAAGAAAGCTGCTTTCCGGAGAGCAGCAAAATATCCCACCTCAGAATATAGGCGCACGGCCAATCGTCTTCAACGAGAACTCCGTTTCTGCCTCTCTGAATTTCGAGACCTCGAAAAGAGTAAACTCATGGAGAATATCTCTCCATCTCATACAGCGTACTATCAGATAGCTAGAGCCCTCCGCATAGACGCTATCACCCACACTCCCCCTCTCTCCCGTCCTGACGGTACGGTTGCCTTCGAGGACGAGGAAAAGGCTGAGTGCTTTGCAGATAGCATTGCCGCACAATGCTCTCCTAGCTCTCAACCCGTCGACCCCTCACACATCCAGGCAGTGGAGGATGAGGTCCGCCGCCGGAACTCACCCCTTACAGCCTCCGAACCTATCTCTGTGTCCAATGATGAAATTTCATCCCTCATCAAAGGACTTAAGCCCAAAAAGGCTCCGGCCGCGGATGGTATCTCCAACCAAGCCCTAAAACACTTTCCTGAGCAGGTGTTAACCTTTTTATCTATTATTTTCAACGCCTGCTTCAACCTTAGTTACTTTCCCACTATGTGGAAAGAGGCAACTGTGATTGGTATTCCCAAGCCAGGCAAGCCTCTCAACCTCCCCTCCAGTCATCGCCCCATTAGCCTCCTCAAGGCACAGACGGTGACCCTCTTATCATTTCCCATCAATTCGGTTTCCGAGCGCAACACTCATGTCTCCAACAAGTTTACCGTATTGTGGAATATATCCTCAGCGGTTTTTATCCTCGTCGTCACAAGACCATAGCGGTCTTTTTCGACATAGCTAAAGCCCTTGATAGAGTCTGGCATACAGGCCTTATCTACAAGCTGTACAAAATAGGTCTCCCCGATCGTCTAGTACGCCTCGTGGCCTCTTATTTAAAGCATCGTACCTTTCGTTTTAGACACGAAGAAACGCTATCTTCACAGCGCCCTATCAAAGCTGGTGTCCCTCAGGGCTCAGTTCTTGTTCCTCTGCTATACATCCTGTTCACCAACGACATTCCCATCCCGTCGAAAGGTGTTCAGCTCAGACGACAATGCTATCTACTGCAAAGGTATCTCGCTACCTTTCATACGGAACAAGGTTCAAAAGTCAGTTGACGACCTAGGAGCTTGGTTCAAAAAATGGCGCATCGATGTGAACCCGGAGAAGAGCTCCGCCGTTTACTTCGATTATAAACGACGCCGTCTCAAAAACACTCCACCAATACGTATGCTAGGATAGTTCAAAACCTTTTCAAATCAATCAAATCAAATCAGTTTATTTTATGAACATAGATTATTTTACAGATCTCAATATATGTCATAGTAAAATACAAGGTAGGTTCTCTATGTCCCGCCAGTAGGCATACAAAATATAAAATAATAATTGCTTAATAATTTTTCTTCTCTTCTGATGTCAGTTTTTAATTGAAATAATGTATTAATATAAGAAAATTTTAAAGATAATAAAGGTATAGTATAATATAACATATAATAATTATCATAATTTTGTCTAATTGTCATCTAGTATTAATTGGCACATGTCATGATAGGTGTATATTCAATGTAGTATTTTAATGTTAAAATGTGTCTGAAATTCGTCTAATATGTAATTCATCTAAAGAATAATATGCTTTTTCATTTAGTAGATCAAAAAGTTTACGTTTATAAATATTAATTTTGTCACAATCTCTAATGTATTTAGGTATTTTGTTATATACTTTTGGTGCCATTGCATATATACTCTTCTGTAATAAAACAGTTCTACTTGATATTAAATGAAGCTTATCTGAGCGACGTTGACTTTCCACGAACTTATACATGTTAATATTACGTTTTACAAAAATGCTTGTTTCATAAATATATAATGAGGGAAATGTTAGAACTTTTAATTTTTGAAAATGCGGCTTGCATGTGTTTGTGCATTTTAAACTACAGATCGCACGTAGACATTTTCTTTGTGCGATGAATACTTCGTGCATTTCCCCAAAATATAACGCCATATCTCAGGATTGAGGCGACATAGCCATGGTACGCTGCTAATAGTGCTCTCTGGTTTGCAATTTTTCCCGACATATAAAGAACGTATGCTAATTGGTGCAATTTTTTACAAATATAATCAATTTGAGTTTTCCACGACATATCATTGTCTATAAGTAGTCCCAAAAATTTTCTAACCTTTGTTTCTTTTACGTCTTGACCCATATATTTGATGTGTAGATTTATTGAGGTGTTTTTTTTTTTAATTTAAAATGTCATTATTATCGTTTTGTCCAGATTAATTTTTAGGTTGTTTTCTTTTTTTCTGTCGTCGAGCTGCGAACACACCTTGGTACGTCCGTAATGCCGACCTTCATCGGGACCTAGAGCTCCCTACAATTCAACAATATCTTAAAAAACTCTCAGAGAACCTTCTTCAAAGCCTCAAAGTCGCACTCCAACCATTTTATTCGTGAGGCAGCTACTTATGCAGCCCCACCCCCCTCTCGCTATCGAATCCGCAAGCCAAGAAACTCTCACTCGGACCCGCCTAATAAACTGTCAAACGACCTGAACTGCCTCCTGGCGGCTCAGTCCAACTCTAATTAAATTAAATTATTCATAATTAATTTGCCTTCGTAGGCACTCCCTCAGCAGCTCGTAGCCGCCTGCGCCCTCTTTTCCCAAAAGAGGGTCGCTCCCGATACGGCATAAGAAAGCTTAAACAGCCAGTTGCCAGTCCCCAAAGGCGATTTTAGAGGGTAACACTTAGGTTCCCCCGGTAGGCATTGAGTCCCCCATAACCACGATAGACCGGCTATCGTGGTATGCGTAATGCATTTTCCGCCTCCCTACGTATAGGGTAGCCCTTTAATTGCTTCGGGCGCAAAAAAAAAACATTTGAGTTTCCTGCACGCTTGTACTTTCACATGAGTTTGTTCTATAAAGCCATATATATCTCTACGATGACTGCATATGGGAAATACGAATGTTCTGAACAAACGTTAAACGGGTATTGTAATTTTATACATTCTATTTTGATTCAATACATCCTTCAACAGTGGCCGCCGGCCAGGCCAAGGATGTATTGAATTACGGCGCTTTGCCTCTGAACTAACGCGGCCACTGACCGAAGCAAAGCGCCGTAAATTTCATAGTATGTAAGTAATCCAGATTCGATTCACGCTAGCACCAATGTTTTTACTATAATTATGAAAATATAAAAGTTATAGATATATTTAGCAATAGCATTTTTGATTTTAATAAATTAATACTCAACTCTTTTCATTTAAACAGTTAAAGTCTACTATTTTTTTTATGTAAACGTATTATAAATTACGTAATTTTATTACATGGTTGATAATAACCCCTGGGAATAAAGTGGTCGCTTCAAAACTGTTTCTAAAATAAATTGAGTAAAAGTTTGTACAATATTGTACAAATTACTTTTTTAAGTCATACTTCAAGTTTTCCCAGGTCTAAGGTTTTTTTTCCGAATCAGTAATTAAAAGGACTTTCAATAAGAATTGGATACATGTGATCCATATTGGATAAAAAAATATTTATAAATAGGTAAAATAAACTCGCTCACGATACACGCCGCCGTGGTAGCCTTTAATTAAGAGAATATTTTGTTTTAATCATTATTAAACAAAATTAAAATAAAATAAATGCAACTCTGAGCTTATAAACCTACATATCTGGGAAATAAAACAGTTCCGAGGACAAATGGAGTCCGCCAGCATACACGAGAGCTCCGTGGTGGAAAAATTGATACATAACCCTTCCAGAAATGAAAGGCCTGTGCCCAGCAGTGGGACATCTAATATATTATTTCGTTTACTAGTATTATTATATATAAACTTAATATTTATCATGTATACGTTATGGATCAAGTGATTAATCGCGGCATCATGTACAATGTCCGCGCAGATTGAATAATGAAAAGACAAAAAAGGGTCATGTAATTAATAATTATTTAAACCTCATTGTTTATCACAGTGCTTGGTCTTTGTCAATATTGCTAAAGAGTATTGCTAATGTGCAATTTCGTGATTTAGGTTCATTTGATAATATTATATAAATCAATGTTGATAGGGCGCACAGAAATAATAGGCCAAGGTTAACCTTGGTTTGCAATTATATTTTTAGATGCTACTATGACCAATAGCTTTGACGGTATAATGCACTATCATCAATGTTGGGCATAGAGCGGGTAGCTTCTTCAAGAATTGTCATTATTTTTATTTTGGTTGCCATTTTTTTGCAGGAGGCACTTTTTTTAAGGTGCTTACTAAAGACAGCATGAATAACCTGTCTTCATCTTGACTTCCAAGCTCAAATTGTTCTCTACTTTTGATGGATTTGTTAAGGGCTTCTAAAAATTTGTTATCTTCAGGTGCAGTCTTCTGTTTTGTTTTCATTCTTTTCGGACATCTTCCCACTTGTCTGTCTTCTTGCAAGTCTTTTTCAGGATCAGGATTTGTAGCTTCAATATCAGGATCTGTAGCTTTGGACTCTTTGGATGCCACAACTTCAGGCTCTTTTAACGCAACAACCTTCTGTAGAAACAGAAGTTGTTTAAAAAATATATATTCGCTTTTACGTGGTCCACGGCCAGACCCGGATTTCAAAGATTTTTTTAGGTTCAGTTCTCGTATGAAGCAATCACGGATACTTTTCCATCTTTTTAGCAAATTATCAGCTGAAAATAGTAAATAAGTTTAGTATACGCGTTTATCAATAAATAAATCTTTTCTTCTAGGTATTTTGCTTCAGGATGTTCACTAATGGAACTTTACTACAACTACAGACTCGGTCATACAACAGTTTGCACAAAAATTAGATAAGTGTGTAGCGCTATATGCCAATATCAAGAACAATTCATAGATCTTCCAAAGGCAGAAGTTGATTGGGAAAAGGTTGCAAGAGGATTTAAAACAATCGCGAACTTCCCCCATTGCATCGGCGCCATTGACGGGAAACACATGAGAGTTATTAAACCGATGCCTACTGGATCACTATATTTTAATTATAAGAATTATTTTTCAGTCGTATTACTTGCTTTGTGTGATGCTAATTACATTTTTCTATATATAGATGTTTGAGTGTATGGAAAAAGCAGCGATATAAAGAAAGTGCTTTATACACTAATCTCATTAACCAATTTCTACATGTTCCTGCGGCAAATCCATTGACAGAAAACGGTGACAATATTCCATACGTAATAATAGGAGATGAAGCTTTTACGTTACACGAAAACCTCTTGAGACCATACGGAGGACACAATCTTAGTTACAAGCTAAAGATATTCAACTAACGATTATCAAGAGCACGCCGATATATCGAATGTACATTTGGCATTTTATCTAACAAGTGGCGGATTTTTCACATGCCAATGAATGTACATATAGATTTGGCAAAAGCGATTGTAAGGACATGTTGGATATTGCACAACTTTGTACGTTCCAGAGATGGCTATTCTTACGACGATACTCTGACGGTGACAGGATTTGAACCAGGTACAAGTCGAAATCGCGATAGAGGAGGAAGAACGGCACTCACAGTTCGAGACAAACTAGCAGATTATTTTTTAACTGATGATCCATTACCATGGCAAGACAATGTATAAATAAATAAAAGTACACTCACCTACCTAGTTATTTTTTTATTGGTTTGTCATTTCGTCTTTTTCTTTAAATATGTTTACTATATCGTCCCAACCTTTAATTTTTAAGTTACGATCGGAATAATCATTTGATGAACTATCTTATAAACAAGGACGGTTTTGAATTTCTATAATAAATTTTTCAGTATCGAAACTCATTTTTTTTCGCATCAAATACAAATAACTATTTGAGCGAGCGTCCAAAATGGCGGCTGACTGGCGACTGAGTGAGGGAGGTGCAGTTTACACGTGTACATTATAGTGGCAACGTTGCCAGGCCGCCAGAGTAGCCAGAAATCACGTAGGGAGCTGTCGCTTGTGGCTACGCTTCCAAATTGGCAACGTTGCCACACCGTCGCCAAGTGAGTTAAGTAACATACATTTCAATATTAACTGCTTGGAGACGTAGCCGGCTACGTCGCCATGGCGTCTTAATGAGGCAGAGGCCTTAGAGGACATCGCTCTGCGCCCATACATTGTTCATCCTGGAAACAAGAGCATCGGGAAAGTGTGTGTTTTATTATCGATCATTAGTAAATTCCTATACGATCTTATTTTTATAGCGGACTAGCTGCAGAATAAATTAAAAAAAGTAAGAAATATTTAAAAAAGTATCAGATTTAGAGATTATAATAATTCTACTAATATATGGTTTTTCATAGTTCCGAGTGATTTTAAGAAACTGAAAAACAACATACTTAAACATTTAGCAACTTTTAGTACCATCTTCTACCAACATAGAACCACCAGCAGAGCCGCAATTTCCACAAAATACACTTTCCATTGCATAGGTATGCGTTTTTTACTCGTCCGTGCATATGCGGCGGTAAATCACAGTCAGGTGATTCGTTTTTGAAAGCGATCAGAGTCCGTTAAAATAGTCAAGTCGTAATATTCAATAGATAGTCCTGAAAGTCATCAAAACACACTGATATAATTACGAAGAGTGAGCGACGCCCATAGACACTATGTCTATAGCGACGCCATTGTTATCGACAGAGCGAGACTAGTGACAAGTGACCACTTAGTGACATCAAAAATAGGGGTGCCAAATACGATATGATTTATCTAAATTTCCCAAGTTTTACTATGGCCATAAGTTAAAAACAGTATTTTATTAGCTTTTGTCATACGATAACATTAATAACGTAGCAAATATGACAATTTCCTCCTTTACTTATAATAACACTTTAATTCTCTACTTCTTTCATACTTGTACCAACTCATTTTAGTATGTTCGATTTGAATCGAATAAGAGATGGATTTTTCTAAGTAAATGTTTTTCTTACATTAATTGTCATAAGCTCGTAATTGATCGTTCAGATAAAAGTAAACCATACCCTTTTTTATATGATAATGGTAACGAACGACCACACAGTCTATTGACCACAGCAACCACTTACTTGACGGTCACAACCAGTGGCTTCTGTGGCCATCTACATATATCCTCAATTAAAAATCACAATGCAGATGCGCTAACACCTAAGGACTAAGATGTAATGCCTCGTTTTCAGGGAAATTGGCCTCCAGTTGTCTACACTCATCATACGAAACACAGCAGCATTAGGCTGCTTTTTTACGCTGGTTTTCTGTGAGAGCGTGATCCTTCCCGATCGAGCTGACCCGTTTCATGCTAATCATAATATAGCTGCAGCGTCACTGTACCACTTTTCTGAACGTTCATTAGAAAACCCTGAATAACACCTAAGGACTAAGATGTAATGCCTCGTTTTCAGGGAAATTGGCCTCCAGTTGTCTACACTCATCATACGAAACACAGCAGCATTAGGCTGCTTTTTTTACGCTGGTTTTCTGTGAGAGCGTGATCCTTCCCGATCGAGCTGACCCGTTTCATGCTAATCATAATATAGCTGCAGCGTCACTGTACCACTTTTCTGAACGTTCATTAGAAAACCCTGAATAACACCTAAGGACTAAGATGTAATGCCTCGTTTTCAGGGAAATTGGCCTCCAGTTGTCTACACTCATCATACGAAACACAGCAGCATTAGGCTGCTTTTTTACGCTGGTTTTCTGTGAGAGCGTGATCCTTCCCCATCGAGCCGACCCGTTTCATGCTAATCATAATATAGCTGCAGCGTCACTGTACCACTTTTCTGAACGTTCATTAGAAAACCCTGAATAGTCGTCTTGATGAAATATTATGTGTATTTTGTTAATTTCAGCATTATTATAACTACTTATTTAAAATTGAGTATGACCTCATTCATTAGGTATAGTAGGTTTTTAAATTATAAATTTAGGAAATAATATATAGGAATATAAAGAAATGTTGATTAACTGTTTTTTTTTTTTACTTCTACTTGCAATCTATTTGAAATAAATTCAAAATCTCTTTCAGATTAATAAATATGTAACAGTTCATTAAAATTCAAAAGATCGATTAAAATCGATTGGCATCCCTAATAATTTTTCGGCACCTCATGATGTTTGACGAAGATAAGGGCGATTAATGTTATTAGTCAAATATAATACTTTCTAATGTTCATTTTGGCAAGCAGCTAATCCGTGTTATATAATATAATAAAATTGACTATTAATTATCGTGTATATATCGGGTATTTTCGATACTTTTGTTGCACTTAACAATTCTGCACATTGTTCTTTTGTCATTTAAATTCAAAACTTTTTATTTAAATGCAAAAAAGTGCCCAATTTAGATATGTGCATATCATGTCATTTATATCATTGTGCAATGGCGGAGTAAGAGTATCAAAATAATAACGACTAAAAATAAAAAAACCGCGGATGCCAACCCGCTTGCTAAGCGTGGTAACTATGGCAAATATTTCCCCAATAAGACAATCTATAGGGAGGCCTATGTTCAGCAGTGGACTTTAACAGGCCATATCGACGAATAATTCAGTTAGTAAAATTCTTATTACTATCGCTTCTCTAGTGTCATTTACACTTCATGAATACTTTACTACTATATACTATTAAGCACACTTGAAAGCAATAAAAATATCGATATTTAGTTTGAAGTATCGAATTATTATCAATTTCAATACTTTTAAAATGTTGTATTAATCGACAAAACATTAAACAACAAAATTAGCTACAAAAGAGCGCTGTTGTCGTTTTCTTACGTTACGGTTGGATAACCGTCCAGTAATACAATTTTGGGCCTTGTCCTACCACATCATGTAAAACATAACGATATATTGATATTTATCACGCGCTATATATTAATACTGTTTAAAAATATCGATACGATATAATTATATCGACATACTTTTTTCACTTGCATCCCTAATTTAGGGTGTGTAATAAAAATAAGAAATAATATTCATTCACTTGATTTGTCTGTGTCAACACAACACATAGCTAATAAAATTTGGTTCAGTCGGAAACTTAAAAAAACTCAACTAGGTTTTGGTACTAGACAACGCTGCCATACAACACAATATGTACTTAAATGCAACTTATAATATTATAATCATGGCTAATTTTTGTGGCTGATAGACTCTTACCTGTCTTCGTACTTCACATATTTGGGTACCATTTATACAATCTACACATTATTTACAAAAATTAATTATTTTATTTTAAAAATAATCAATTCAGATATGAGTTTAAGGAACAAGTAGGTAGATAGACCATACTCTTTATCTTTAAAATAGTCATATTACAATGTTTTCTGAAGTCTTGTTTGTTTGTCATTATGCATTGCATCATTAAACTTTTTTCCTCAAATGCATAAAAACGTTATCTAGATCTGGTTTACATAAATGATGGAGTTCTCCTATCATTATCTATTATTCTTTTTCGCTTTTACGAGCAAACGTCAAAAGGCAGATAGGTTATACACTCGTTAAAATATTTTGCATAAATTTCTCTCTATACATTTTTCTTTGTCATCAACGAAATTAT